AATATATATATTGCCTTCTCAGTTTCATAATATGAACTGTTTTTTTTTTTTTTTTTTTTTTTTTTAAACTGGTGATCATCCAAAGCTAGAAATTCCAATCTAAGCTGTAGATGAGGTGAGAGGAAGATATGGATTCATGCCTTTCCCAGGGTCATTTATAAAAAAAAAATGAATGCAACGGACAAGGAATTTGAACCCCGCATGGCAATTTCATTTCTTCACCGATAAGTTTCCCTATTTGCATGCTTTCCCTATATATATATATATATATATATATATATATATATATATATATATATATATATATATATATATATATATATAAAAATGTTTCCTAAAGAGTTGAATACGTGTTGTTTTGTTGTTTTTTTTTTTCCTTAAATCAATGCATACTTTTTCTTTCTTTCTTCCTAAATCGATGGATTCGTTTTTTTTGTTTTTGTTTTTTTTTTGTTTCATTTTTTTTCTGTCCGGAATTTGAACACGGTTTGCCAATTCCATTTTCTCTTCCGATAACTGCTGCGCTACTTATTCGTTCTATTTACAGATATTAATTTTCCCATCAATGGGACATTCAAAGAAAAAAAAAAAGAAAATTGATTAAATAATTGCAAACCTTATCCATTTACAAGTGCCATTGATTCTCACTTGAAAATGTATCGTTTTTTTTTTTTTTTTAACTTTTCTATTACGCTGTACATTCACTACGAGTCGCTTATCACCTTTTTGTTTGTTTTCTTCTGTTCAACATGGCGTGACATCCTTTTTTTTATGCTAAACGTCTCGGTCTTTCACAATTAAGTCCGTTTCTTCGTAAAGTTGTCGTTCTAAATCAGGTATGGCCAACCTTTCTCGAACACTGGCCGCATGAGATTTACTTCGTTATAACGCGGGCAGAAATATTTAAAAACTGATTTTTTTTTTTCTCTTTACTTTGCCACGGCCATTTTCACCACAGAAGATCATACGCGTAAAACGTCTGCCTTAGAAATGGGGGGGGGATTCGATATTTTTTTCTTTAGCGAAAACATTATTTCTCTAATAAAAAAAAAAAAAAAAAAATGTCATTATATAAATATGATCACTAATGACAAGTGTGATTAACACACACGCTGCGGTAACGCACCCAACGATTTTTCGTTGGGGTTTTTGGCAAATATTGGATCGTTTCTTGGCCTATGGCTGAGATTCGGTCAAGGCTTCGACTAGTTTGGACTGGCTCCGGCCTGGACCTGCTAGGACTAGCCATGACCAGCTTTGACAAGCTATGACCAGTTTTGGACCAGTGGCCCTTGAGTGGAAACGCTCGGGTCTCCCACGTTAAACGACCTTGTGTCACATCCTGACCCTGTGGGAGTCAAGTAAATATTAACACACACGCTGCTGTGATTTGTTTCCAATTTATTCATTTGAATATGCAAAATTCTTCTAAGCAAAAGAAAATGGATTTTTTTCCTGTTTCTAGATGATATGAGGTTTACACGCATGATCTTCTTTAGTAAAAAATCTCTTATGACGATGAAAAAGGTTATGCTACAAAATTCAATAAACACATTGTTTATGTAAATGGTTATGTGCGAGTGAACACTTGAGAACGAAATGAAACAAACAAAATTTTCGTAAACGTTATTTCCTTCATGAAAATATGGCCGCCATTCAGAAAGCCAATCGTGTCGCATTTTGTTCATCCCTGTTCTAAAGCATCGTCTTGAAACAACTGTGCAAATAATGAAATATCCATTGCGTTGTTTCTTTATATACGTTTACTTTCCTTTAGGTTTATAGTACAGGGGGTTCTAAAAGTCACGCACCAATTGGTACTAAACATACACGTGTGAATTAGCAACAGGGAAAATTTCCTTGACATCATCTTCCATAATGAATAATATATATTATGGACACCACTGTCTTAAGAAAAAAAAATTCTATGAATTTTTACAAGAATTGTTTTCACGTTTTTAAAAATTGTAATTAGAATAATTTAAAAGTTAGAGGTTAGGTGGTAATGTTAAGAAAAACTATTTACTTGAAAAGCTTAGTACAATTCATTGGCGCTCAATATTTTAAAAAGAATTTTTTTTTTTTTTTTTTTTTTTTTGTGCGTATAAATGAGACGATTTTTGTAAACACGGACGTCCATATACGACAGTATCGGAAATATCTGATAATAATCAGAAAATAAGAGCGATAACTATAGTAAATTTAAAGCCAAAGTACCTAAAATTTAACAAACATAATCTTGTTTAAATAACTCACAAAGGGTTGATAAGCCGTAAAAAATAAAATCTGACAATTCTCGTCATTCAAGTGTTAGAAAATGTTCTTGCAGTACTATAATCATTAAAGTGATATAAACTCTTACAAAAAAATTGTTTCCAGCGACAATCAAAAGCCGTGTTGTAAAAATGGGATTTTTGTAGCGAAAAAACTACTCATTTATTTGCTTGTGTGTCTGTTTATATAGCTTTTGAATAAGCAAATGAGCTGCGTTAAGAAATCATTTCCCTGCAACGATTGAACTGAAAATATCTTATAACTCTGCTTGCCCCTACCTCAGTTAGCACGGTCGTTACGCCCTGCCAACATCTCATTAATAATGAACTGTTCTGTTTGATCGCATGGAAAGACGGGAAAGTCTGATCAGAGAAGCTACTTGGATTCAGTGAGAAAATGAACAAAAGAAAAAAGGGAGGCAAAATATAAAATGAAATGGCAAAAAGTTACCAATTTCAAACCTTTTCATGGGTACCCCCTTCTTAAAATAAAGACCATCTTTCATATTTATGGTGATTTTTTTTTTTTTTTCTAAGCGTGGCTTAGATGTGGTGAAAGTATAGGGCACCCAATGAGGATTGAATACACTACTTGGTAGTAATTGTTCTAGCGAGACCAGCTCGTTAACTATTACACCACGTCAAGGTGTAATTGCAATATTTTGTTAAAGTCGTTAAGCTCAAATACTTAATGATGCGATAGAGTAATTTCTTCGGATATTTTATGGTCGTAGAACTCGCCATGAGCTTATTCAATCGTTGACTTAAGAATTAAGATTCTTCAGAAAATTTTAATTAGGTAAACCGTGGAATTTTCACCGGTATTTCTAGTTATAACTTTTGGAACGCTAAATTTTCCTTTATTGCTTGAACATGCTACATAGATACTACTCATCGGTGAAAATCCAGTATAAGGTCATTGACATACAGAATAGATGCCCATTTTAATAAGCTTGGTGCGAGTCATATGAAGCTAGCAAATGTTTTATTTTGCTTCTCATTCTCCCGCCTTTCTCACTTTGTTTTTTCCTCATAAAACATTTTGAAATCGTTTAATAAATCTAGTAAGAAATAAATTAATTGAAAAAAATTTATATTTGGTTGGTGTCGAAATACTTAAGGTTTTCAACCAAATTTCAAGTAATGTATATCAGCTGAGAATAAAATGCATTCATCAAAGCAAAGAACGGTTCGAATCTAGGCACTGTGGCTAAAAAATAAGTCTTATTTGTTCCTGCAACATGGGCAAACTTGTCTACCTAGATTAATTGAGATCAATCCTCACTGGGGGATCGACAATTTAGGCTTTGTGCCACAACTGAGCTACGCTTAGAAAATCATTTAGGACACCTCGACGTGGTATGATGGTTAGCAAACTGGTCTCGCTAGAACAATTACTACTGAGTAGTGAGTTTGTTCCTCACTGGGTGCCTCCTTACTTCCGGCTTCGTGTCGAATCTAAGCTACGCTTAGAAAATCGCATTATTTGTTCCTATAACATAGAATTTCGGATTCTTCGAACAGACGAATTCTTTGAAGACGTTTTTAACCGCTACAGAGAAAGTTCTGTTGAATGAGCTGGGTAAGGCAGTTTTGTTGGACAAGTTTGTTCAGTTTCTATAGAATCATTTGGGATACATGCAGTCGTTCGGTTGGTTGTTGTCATGGGGAAGAATTGGTCCTTTTTTCGATTGGCCATTGTCAGACGTTTTACTTTTCTTTTTTTCGTTCTCCAAAGAAAGAAATTCTAGGCTGGAAGATAGTATTGAAACATACATTCTATCAAGAAATAACTGACAGCCTTTTTCAATTAGCATTAGAAGTGTTTGCTTCTATTATGGTCAAGTATTCTCTCTCTATGATTCTATCTTTAAAATAGTTACAGGGATTGATTTGTTCGTTAGAACTGAAGAAATGCAATAAAGGGCCAACCCAGCACCTTGATGATCTACTGGGTTACGGAATAGAAACGATAATGTATCAATTATAATAGTGTCGTATACTGGCTGCTTATTAAAATTACGGTGAAACATACCGACATGTATTTCGTTTACAATCCGCGCCATTTTAGGAAACCCGAGAAAAAGCTTGTCTCCTTCAATTTCCACCTCGACAAATTCACACATGCAGTTATAATTGCCCTTATCAGTGCAGTGGTACTTTGTGCAATCAACGTAGCTCTGGGTGGGGTGTACCGTGACAGCTTTCTGTTTCGCTTTTATTGCTATTCCTTTTCTCTTTCGTTATAGCTTTCTTCTTTTACATTTGTTTCTCTGTTTTTTTTTATTCGATTTCGTTTTTTTTTTCTATTTTTCTTTGTTTTCCTAATAAGAAAAGGGGGTTTGAATAATTTGACATCCACAGAAAATATTATAAATACAGAATAGAGGAGAAGAGAGGAAACACCAATTACAACAAAGCGCTTGTGTAAATGGATGACAGAATGACTGGTAATGATAATAAAGGAACAAATATTACTTAGAGTTACAAAAGATAGGAAGACGAGGGGCCATGATCGCACACGTCGTAAAGGGACACGATTAATAAAAGAAAAAAGTGTTAAACTTCACCTAGTCTACCACAAGGCTATATAGTGAGAGCACTACGAGACTAAATGAGAATATCCTAGTGATAACATGTTATTCTTTTTAATATTCATTTGAATTTGTCTATGGCTCAATGATTCCTTCATTAAGATAAAATATTATTTACGTTTCTTTCCTAAAGGGTAACAAGCCTCTAATGGAGAAAAGGCGGAGAGCCCGGATCAACCATCACCTCGACCAACTTGCTGGACTTCTTAGTGAGGGTCGTAAGAAAGACGTAAGTATGATTTTAATTATTTCTTTTTTTTATTTATTTATTTATTTGTTTGATCCGGCGTTTCTAAGATCAAAGTTATTACAACTTCCTTTTGTTAGGCTTTCATTTATTACGATCATCTGTAGAAGAGGGGTTATAAATAACTTTCACTACACGAGGGCTCTTCAGGATGTAGGCGATCATGTCTCTTCGTACATTGTTTGTGACGTATTTTGATAAAGCTGTCATTGCCCCAGGCAGTCTCTTTGATTTTATTATTGATTTATTTTGTTAATATAAATTGTTACGATGTATTCGGATGAACCTCATATACAATAATTCCAGCATTTCACTTGCATTCGTTTCATATACACCGGGTGTCGGCAACCTACGGCACGCATGCCACACGTGGCACGCCAAGCAATTTCTAATGGCACGCAGCTGCAAATGACCTCACGAAGTCCGAACCAATAACTACTACAGCGCAAAGAAGATATTTAACTGTTTCAATTTTAATATATACTAAAGTATATACTATATATTACTATAAAAAATATATTGTAAAACAGGTATATTGACCTTGACTTGTATAAGAATACGTATGCTGTTGGCACACTGACTGATTTTAAAACCCTAACTCAGCAAAAGGTTGCCAGCCCCCTGACAAACAATTTTTAAATTTTGGGGTACAGTAGTGTGTACGTGTATAAACGCCTATATTTTTACAGTTAGGACTGTCCATGCCGCATACACGGTATCGAATCATCCTCATTTTCTTCGTATTCCATTGGTAAGAAGTAACTTTTGCTTTGTGAAACACTCCCGAGAGGATGCTTCCCTGATCACTACAATCTTAACCTCTTTATGTCTAGGGTTAACCTTTTCTTTATATAACATATCCTCATAATATGCACGTCTTACTTCCTCCTATTACGACGATACAACAACCTCATTCAGTGATCCTCTACCTTGGGTGTTTCTTGGGCCTTGTACTGAGTGAACATTTAGTTTGTTTTTTTGTTAAAGATGTTTTTTATAAAGTATCTTTGACGGTAAGAAATTATTAATTTTGTAGCTTTACCGTTACAAGTTGAATTATTTTATCTAAAAAAATCAGTTTCTGTTCGATTTGTACGATTAACGGAAATTTTTTTTGAGTCAGGTGCATTGACAAGGAAGCAAATTCTGAAAAATGAATGTCTATTGTGTGCATAAAATAGCCAAGAGCAAACTGCGTCTTGTTTGACTTTCAGAATGACTCAGCTAATTTCATGAGAGAAACGAGGTTTATTAAAATTATATTTGTTTCGTTTCGTTCTAACTTGTTCACTCACAGACTCTCTCATATATAACCACACCAGTAACAATGATTACAACTGGAAATACCTGTGAAAATCCCTATTTGTATATTGGGATGAATCGTAATTCTTATTAATTCAGATTAATCAGAAAATTCAAATAGAAAACCGTGCAATATTAATGGGTATTTCTAGAGGGAAATTCTACGGGTATTTTATTGTCGTAACTTAAGTTAACGCTTTGAACCCCGCGTTCCTGAACAATTTTAACGCTTCTGCCTGAGATCTTGAGTCAAAATTCGCAAATAATTGATATGTAATGTTTCACGGTAAATTTTTAAAAAAGTTACAAGTGTTTACCAAAACGTTCAACCGGTGGCTGGGTAATACGTCATTTTTCTCTACTACCGGTAAAGCGGTGGTCAGGGCTCAAATTGTTAATGATTGAATAAGCTCTGACAATAAAATATTTGTAGAAATTCCCCTATCGCATCGTTAAATAGTTTGAGTTTCACAAAACATTGCAATAACAATCATAAATATGAATGCTGGTCATTTTTTTAAGAAGTAAAGGGGTACAAATGAAAAGATTTGAAACTGACAACTTTTTCCATTTCACTGAAACCGACATTAAACATTTCTATCTTCTCCTTTTTCTTTCTTGTCCCGTCCTGGGTATGACGATAAACTACATCCGCGTCCTGGACAAGATAAACTACTTCCAACAGCAAGGCCTCTGATCAGGAGGTTTTGAGGAGCGTGGAACCACCTCTTAATTGCTGGTGTTCCCAGGTCCGCCCTGACCCGGGGTGGTAGCACCTGTTAGGGTCCCATTTATGGGCAAATAATTAACACCCAAACTTGTGTAAAAATAGGTTTTAATACCAGAAATACTTTGTAATAAAAAAAATTATTACCAGCAATAATTTTTGAAGGAAAAATTACCAGCAATAATTAAAATTTACAGTTAGTGTGTAGATTTACAATTTACTGTTAGAGTATGTTGATTTTGATCTACTGCGAACAAAATATTACCAAATGAGTAATTCAATAAAAAAAACTTTTTACGAAAATGAAACCATCCAAGATTGTAAATTTCCTGAAAGAAGTTGGATTGTACTCAAAAATATGAGTAATTGAAAAATGGTTCAAATATATATGTATACATACACTTTCTTTCTTTTCTTTTTTTTTTTACCAAACTGTCGCTTTGAATCTATTTCAAAAATTTTGTTGGTATTAAATGACCCACTGAGGTTGATATGCCATAAAACAACCAACTAACCAAATCTTTCATTGTCTCGCGGAAACTAGCTAATGTCTCTGTTTTTTCTATCTTCCTATACGATTAAAACAATATTCTATTATTTATGAGGCATTGGTAGAATATTCAGTTATTTATGAGGCACTGGTAGAATATTCTTATTTATGAGGTAATTTTTGTGATAACTAAGGGAGGGACAAAGAGATTTATATTAAAATGTTTCTTGAATTTTGTAACCCTTCGTTGAAAGTATTACGTCCACCAATTTAAACCCCTGACAATTAAGGCAGATTATACGTGTAAATATCTTCTTGAAGAAAAACTGAGAAATATTCTTAATAACTTTTCTTCTGGAGAAGAGATATATTTTTATTAAAAAAATTATTTTTTTTAATTTCCAAATGAATAAATCAGAAACAAATCAGTCGCAGTGGCTGAGATTGGGTACCGCAGGAGAACATAGGGTACTATGAGCAAACTCCTATAAACTGAAAAATATTTCGGCTTAAAGGGTTATTTAAATTGTCAATAAGCCGTGAAAAAAACAATAAATCAAATAATCCAACAGTGTGTGTTAATCACACTGTCATCAATGATTATATTATACCAATTACGATTGTGATTATGCTAGAGAAAATCTTTTGTTTATTGTTAAACCAAATTCTTATGCATATCGGATTCTGTAGGAAAACGATTGAAGCGACTGCAACGAAAAATTACCTTGAATCTTTTTTTTTTTTTTTTTTTAGTGCGACTTGCCTTATGATGGACCATATCTCAGGCGGCCCATAGCTTCAAAAGAACCCTTTTTATCATCATTAGTCTATGGGCTTTCTGACTTATCTATACGCGCCCGCACATATTTAATGCTTGTGAAACGAACTGCACAAGAAAGAGACCCGTGACAATGTAATTATTTTGTGTAACGCGATTTAGAAATCATTTTATCCCAATGACGTCATTAGCCTTTTTTTCTATTTATTTCATCGGCAACAGGAATCTGAATAAAAACAACAAAATGCAGTAAACGTTTAAACACAGGGGTTTAATCAAATCCAAACAAAAAAGAATAGTTTATTATTCGTCATGGTTGTTGTCTGCAAGCTGACATAACGGTCATCAATATTCCAGCTTGATTATAATCTCCAGAAGAGAAAGAATGAAAAAAAAAAAAACAATCATTCACAAAGCCCCATCCACTTATTACCGATTCCCAGTTTCTGAATGTAGCCACAAAATAAAAAAAAAACAATTGTTAAGGGGTAAATCAAATGTAAAATGTGCGGGGGCGGTTCCTGATTCTGTATTTATTTCTTCTGAACCTTTTTGAAAATTAACATTTTTTAGATGTATTGGTCAACCTTAAACATAAAATAGATTTTTTTTTTTTACTGTTCGAAATGGGAGTTTGTCCGCATATAAGACTTGTATAAAAATCTTACAAGCTTCCAACACCGCCCCACTCGACATCAAAGAAAGATAAAGCTTTATTCGACTATTTTTCTCTAAATAAGATGCACTTTTTACCCCAAAATTTTATGTCCAAAATTTTTAATTCGAGTAGTTTTTACAGTTTTGTACCACCACGTACAAAAAGATTAGTCAAATTTCCGGTTGTCCATACCTAATTAAGCACATACCGCTGTGTTAAAAAAAATATTTCTGCGATATTTTTAAATTAAAATAAAAAATATTTTAAAATTAAAATAAAAACATTATTTGAAAAATTTAACTGAAAATCAGTTAATATTTTTCAAATAATGTTTCAGAGAAATATATTTTTGAGAAATTTTTAATAAAGAGAATTGCATTGTGCTGAGAGATGACTAAAAACCGTTTTTTTTTAGCAATTTAAACAATAACTCCTTCCAACCAATTTTAAATTCGTTTTGAAATACATTGCTTATTGGAAATATTAGCTTGAAATTTTTGCTTATTGGAAATATTAGCTTGAAATTAAAACTAAAATAAAAGCTTCAAGAAAGATTTTTCATTTTTAAAAAGTAATTTTAACCCTTAGGTATTGCGTTTCTTTGGAGATACCAATAATGTATGGAAACCTGTCCGTTTCCACCGAAACCTTATCGTCATCAAAAAGGGAGCACGCAGAGCAAAAATATAAGATGGCGGAGAAAGCGAGAGCGGGATTTTTTTCTTTTCTTTTTGGCACATTTTCTGTTAAAACTGGAGGAAACGGAAAATAAATGTCGGGCAAAAAAGACTCCCCACATTTTTTTTTTTTTTTTTTTTTAATTGTTTCTTTTACTTCTTCTTTATTTCTTTTTTTTTAAAAAACTCCTTTTGTTTCTGTCCCCATCTTGTCTTAGATTAATCTCTCTATTTCCCTCCTCCCCAGCTTTAGTGCCCCGAGAGCAAGCCTAAGCGACATAATACAGGGGTAGATATTTACATACAACTACCCGTGTTTAACAACACATCCGACTTCTATTTTCGACTTTTCCGAGCTGGAAGTCTAATAAACCGAATCCTCTTGTACTGGTTTTCTTTTCCCAGACAGTGCCTCCCCATTAAAGAAAGAGTGTCAGGGGCACGTTTTGATGTCCGTGACAGTGACTGAGGAAACACTGCAATTTCTATATGAACTACACTAAAATAACTGATTCCAATTGTCACAAATAAATACCAAGTTGATACCGGCCGGTCTTTGACTGTTGAGTGTCACGCGATAATATACCCTTCCTAGAATAATAATTTTCTGATTTTTCTACCTATGCCAACAAGCCAACTATTGATACTTACAAACTTTAGCCAAGTAAGGCAAAAGACAAATTGAGAGTGGATAATAAGAGAGGAACATGTTGTTGCTCCAATCCTATTTTCTTCGTTCCGTTTTCCCCTCTCTATTATTTGACTTTTCGCTTTGTTTTTTGACCTCGTCCTTTCCCTTTACACTTTGTTTTTTTTTTTTTTTCGTTTTACTTCTTCCCTTTAAATTGTTTCTTGTTTTACCTCTTGCCTTTTATACTTTGATTTTTCTCTTCTCTTTACACTGTTTCCCCACCTCTTCCCTTTACCCTTTGTTTTTCCTCTTCCCTTTTTACTTTTTTTTTTTTTTTTTTTTCCCTTTTCGTTTCTTTTTTTCCACTTTTTGTTTCCCTTTTGGTTTCTTTTTTTTTTCCTTTTCTCTTTTTGTTTCTTTTTTTTTTCCTTTTCCCTTTTGGTTTCTCTTTTTTTTTCCTTTTCCCTTTTGGTTTCTCTTTTTTTTTCCTTTTCCCTTTTGGTTTCTCTTTTTTTCCTTTTCCCTTTTTGTTTTTTCCTTTTCCCTTTTTGTTTTTTCCTTTTCCCTTTTTGTTTTTTCCTTTTCCCTTTTTGTTTTTTCCTTTTCCCTTTTTTTTTTGTTTTTTCCTTTTCCCTTTTTGTTTTTTTGTTTTTTTCCTTTTCCCTTTTTGTTTTTTTTTTTCCTTTTCCCTTTTTGTTTTTTTTTTTTTTTTTTTTTTCCTTTTTTCATTTTTTTTTTTTTTTTTCCTTTTTCCATTTTGTTTCTTTTTTTTCCTTTTCCTCTTTTTGTTTTTCCTTTTTCCCTTTTTGTTTTTTCCTCTTCCATTTACCATTTGATTTTTTTTTTGTTTCCTTTTGCACTTAGTCTTTGTTTGTTTTTTTTTTTTTCCTCTCTTCCCACTCCATTACGTTTTTACTTTGATGTTTCTCTTTCACTTTCTACTCTAGAGCACACGACACTCAAAACTGGAGAAAGCAGATATTTTGGAGATGACTGTCAAATACGTAAAGGATTTACAAAACCAACTCAACATGCAATCCATAACCGCTGACCCCAACATGCACTCAAAATATAGAATTGGTTATAAAGAATGTGCAAGCGAAGTAACTCGATATTTGAGTTCTGCTCAAAGTATTGACGAGGGTGTTCGCAATCGGATTACCGATCATCTCGCCAACAGCATTAATGTAACTAGAACAAACCGTCCACAAGGCTCGAAACCAGTATCGCGTGTGGAAAACATCGAAAAGAAAGACAACACATCAGAGATCACTGTTCAGAAAACAGAAGTATCGAAACAAGAGTTACCTGCTCCTGCTACTCGGACAACTGCTTCACCAACTGCCAATCCGATGAAGTCCCTCCAAGTTAACATACCAAACTCCCTGCCTCTTTCAGGAATTACAATACCTGTGTTAGCGCCCGGTAGTGAAACGTTACTTAGCCCCCAAACAGCTGCCATTTCTCTCTGCGACAATTCTCTTCATCCAGATTCTTTAACTGTGCCAGAGAATAGCAGACTTCAGTCCACAGCGACAACAGCTCCCAATCTTGGAAAAACACAGGAAAAATCTACACCTAAAGCAGCAATGGAAATTTCTCAAAACCGAAGACACTATTTCCACCAATCGAAACAAACTGTCTCAGTCCAGCCATTTCTAACGACTAACACTCCAGCTGTAAAGGTTTCAGCTCCCTCGACAAGACTAACAGATAAAAAAACAACTACAGTGACAGAACCCTTATTGGTTAAACTCTCCCCATCGCAAGTCGCTGGCTCATTCCAGATTATTCCGGGATCGATCTACAGCGGACAACCAGTAGCACTTTATCTGGCTCCAACTGCAACTATACCAACTGTACCAGAACACGTGACATCATCATCTACTAATGCACTACCTCGTCCAGCAATAACTGCTGCTTCTACAACTAACAGCGACTCGTTGTCCATTCATATGCCGCAGGTAGTCACGGCAGTTGTTTCTCCACCAACTTTGGGCCTTCTTAGCCCACAAGCTGCCACTCCAGCTCCTACTAGTCTGCCAGGATCAACTTGTTTCAGCCATGTATCTTCCAGTTTGCCTCTTTCAGCCTCGGTTTCAACTTCGTCTTACAACCCGTCTCTTTTTGCGCCGACTTCCGGTCAAGTAGCTTATCCCCAAAGGTTGGAGACCGGAAATCATTCTTCCAGTTTACATGCCAATCATTTGTGTTCTTCAGAAAATGAACAAAGTTTGTGGAGACCCTGGTAAAATCCTATAATTTAAAAAAAAAAATAGGGGCATTTAAAGAAATATACAAAAATTATAGACATGTTTAAAATATTGAGACGTCAACTTAACATCTTTTTCAATATACATTTTTGTGGAATCCCCCTCCTCACAAAGACACGAGGTGCTATCTTAGAGGTGGGAGAATTTGAACAGCGTGTAAACCTGACTGTAGTACAGTATTATTTGCCACTACCCTTTGTGAGTCAGACAAGTTGCTGTATCAAAGGAGACTTTGAATTAGGTGTTAAGGAAAGTTCTTCACACCTTTCGGTGGTGCCATGTGCATTGAGAAACAATTAAATATTTTTGTCAAATAGCTTTTATACATATACGACGTTTCACAAACGTAACTGCTTTCAGACAGGTTACTTAAAAAAAAAAATAAAATAAACACTTCTGAAAACCTGACCTTGGCTGTTAAAATTTAAAACTGAAAAAGAAAAATGATCCATTTGTGATAAATATGGTTGGGGGGTGGGGTCGAATATTGGAGGGTTTTGTTTGTTTTTATTTATTTTTTTATTTTTTTAGGAGTGTCAGCACGTGCATATTTTATACAGGGTGTCCATAAAGTTCTTGTGCACTTTAAAAACTTATAACTTTAAAGTGCACACGAACTTTATGGACACCCTGTATTAAGTTAAAAAAAAAAATTAATATCCATGAAAGTTACAATCACTCACACTAATGAAACCTAACCTACGAAATAAAGCCATTCCTAACTGATAACTCCTAAATAATTCTGATTTTTATGCTTATTTCCTCTATTTAACAAGACATCTATCCTATCATTCTTTCAGATTCTAATACGAATTTGATCCCAATTACTTCTATCCTGTTTATGCCTCTGCCGTCAGCCATTTTGACGCCGACATCGGCTTGTGCGTTGGGTTGGTTGATTTTACGATATGTAAATGATTGTGTTAGCACGAAGTCACAAGTTGCTATGGCCGAGCGTCGGCACTTCGACGTGGTGTAATGGTTAGAAAGCTTGTCTTGCTAGATCAATTACGACTGAGTAGTGAGTTCGATTCTCACTGGGTACCCTATACTTTCGGTCTTGTGGTACATCTAAGCCGGGCTTAGAAAAACTGTTGGTCACGTTAGATGTTGCACACTCCCCCAGAAACTGTAACTAAAGCCCGCTCAGCATAAAAATAAACCACAGGAGGGTTATGTAGGTGTTGGACAAACACAAATATTCCTAAGCAGGCGAAATGCAACGGCGAATGGCTAGCTACCCTAACAGACAGGTGTGCCCGGAAAAATATTCGATAATATAGATAAACAATACTTGTGTTTACAGTCAAATCCCCAAGCATTCACCTGGTATGTGGTCCTCTTTTGGCGTGATCTTACGCCTGTACGGTGTATGGTACTTGCAGAATTATTCTTGACAATTAGGACAAAACGAACGAAAATTGTTTTTGTGTATAGCAAAGTAAAAGGGAATTTTTGGTTGCCTTAAATAAATTCTTTTACTTTCCGTATATCACTGGATATGAAGCACCCCTGCCTGATGCCTTAAATTTATATCGTTTTGGTTACTCCCAATTAAAAGCTAATGCTAAAAATTTCAAAATAAAGAAGCTCAGAAAATGTTGCATGTTTTTCTCACCGAAAAAGACCCTGAATTCTGTGACTTTTAGTTGTTAGATTATACTAAAGGGAGAAGGTAAAGAAATTAAGCATATCAATTCATACTACTAAAGATTGATGAAGTGCTATAATCTTTTCTTTTTCTTTTTTTCACTCTTCAAGCAAAAATGTAAAATTCTGGTAACTTGACTTTTATGAAACTTAACTGAAAAGATGTACAAGACTGACCGCTCAAAAAAAAAAAGTTATAAATGTGTTGATTCTCCAATTTGTTGTGACGCCAAACTAACACAACTAATTAAAAAAAAAATGTCCGCTTCCGTAATTTAAAATTATGAACGCCAAATTTAACTGGGTTATTTTACTAAAGTTCCCAAGGCTCAAGAGCCACTCAATATAGAGTGAGGGTTGACGAATGAGGTGTCTTTGTATGAAGTAAAGATTATGGGGATAAGGAGGAGATATAATAAGTGACCCTTGACTTGAAGAGATTAAGATTGTAATGACCAGAAAACATCCACGTAAGAGCCTGTTCCACAAAATTCTTGGGGGAGCTGTCAGGATGGAATTTCCTTCTTAAAACTGGAATACGAAGGAAATGAGGGTGATTCGGCCTCTGTAGATATAGTGTGGCGAATCCAAGCTGTAAACGGTACTAACGTAAACTCCCTTTCTTCAAAAAGTTTTTTAAAAAGATTTTTTATTAGTTATATACACACACACACAAAGCAATAAAAATGTTATTATCATTTATATATAGCATTTAAGAATAATGACTTTGTAAATACAACCACTGGGTTAAAGAAAAAAGTACATCCGGTGACCAAATCTTAAATCCTGCATTAACACAAATATAGATCAATCATTTGCCAATTTTTATCAGCTTTGGGGAAGGACTAGATTGAATATTTTGTAAGCCGCAATTGCTGTTAATAGTTACTGCTATTGACACGTATTCTTTTAAAAAATTTTTTTACATTTTTACGAGCAATAATCCTTTGAGCCATGCACTCCTGAACAATTTTAATCCTTCTGTCTGAGCCCCTGAGTCAAAATTCGCAAATAATTGGTATATAATGTTTCACAGTAGATAGAAAAATAGTTACGAATGTTTACCCACCGTTCAACCGGTGGCTGGGCATTATTATTTTTCTCTACCACTGTTCAACCGGTGGCTGGACATTACGTCATTTTTCTCTAGCACCAGTAAAGCGGTGATCAGGGCTCAAAGGGTTAAGTAACGGATCTGAAACGGTTACCCGTCAATGAGATTTGAACTCGCAACTCCTATCCTTGAAAGTCTGAAAAAAATATCTCTTAATAGTTATCTCTAATAATTATTGACTCGTATGCTTTTATAAAACATTTTTTTTTTTTATCGCAACGCTGAGGTTGCTTCTTAGTTTTTTTTACAAGCATTTAGCGATATAGATCAGAAACATAACCCTTACCTTTGAGAATCTGTCTCGATACGGCCAGAAAAGTATCGATTAGTTTGAGGAAAACTATCAACATTAAAATTTATACATAGAATCATCATATTGTTTGTTTACGTGTTCACAAAGAAATACTAGTAGCTTAAATAAATTTCAGTTCAAATTTCTTAGATGAATCATCGTTGTTGTTGTTATTATATTTATAGTGTGTGAGAGCAGCATGTTAATAAAAACAGACGCTGAGTTAGAAATATACGTAGCCTAAACATTCCTCAAGTTTGATGAGGGTATACTGTACGCATGCGTGACAACTAAATGTACGCGATACGGTGACAGGTTTGGATAAAAGCAATGTATAACTATGCAAGTAAAGCCCGGTTAAAAAGATCAGTTGGTCTAATCTGTTCAACCGTTTTTCATTTAATGGTGTTTCCAAGTATCTAGATGTGTTTCACAAGTTGCCTTAGCTGCCTCATCAAAAGAAAAAAAAAAAGATTCTCGACACGTGGCCGTGCTGCTACTGCTTCTCCGCTATTCCCATTCATGGTACTCACTGCGTCTTGTCCTAAGGAAAATGTTCAATTGGCAAATGGTCAGGCAGATGACAGGATCTATGGTACTGAACAGGATATTTACTGTAGCCCATTTTAATTCATCATGACAAAGCATGTATATACTAAAAATCCGAGACTTTTCTTTCTTTTTCTTTTATCTTTCTTTTCTTTTATCTTTTTCTTTCCTTTTATTTTAATTTTCATCATTTCTTTTCTTTTTACAAAGCTTTTTATGTATATCTAATAATCTTTCTTTTCTTTTATCTTTCTTTTCTTTTATCTTTTTTCTTTCTTTTCTTTTATCTTTCTTTTCTTTTATCTTTTTTCTTTCTTTTCTTTTTTCTTTCTTTTCTTTTATCTTTCTTTTTTTTTTTTTTCTTTTTCTTTTTTTTTTCTTTTTCTTTTATCTTTCTTTTCTTTTTATCTTTCTTTTCTTTTATCTTTTTCTTTTTTTCTTTTATCTTTTTCTTTTTATCTTTTTCTTTTCTTTTATCTTTCTTTTCTTTTATCTTTCTTTCTTTTTATCTTTCTTTTTTTCTTTTATCTTTCTTTTTCTTTTATCTTTCTTTTCTTTCTTGTCTTTTATCTTTCTTTTCTGTCTTGTCTTTCTTTCTTTTCTGTCTTGTCTTTCTTTAATAATAATTCAATAGTTCATCCTTCATATTTTCTGTCATATAAAATATCGCTGTCGACACTTGGGTTTGAGCATGGATCGCCATATATATATATATATATATATATATAAGCGGTGTCTGACCAAGCATTGTTCGAAGGCGTTGCTATTATTGTATCTGTGATTTACAAAGTTTCTCCTACAACCGGGCATTACAAAATTTTCTTATGTATAAATGGCAATGTCTAGGTTTCATTTTACGTTCTACGACCGTTAAATTAAGCAGTTAAAAGAAGATGCGAGTTCAAATTTTGTTGGAGTCTACTTACAAATCTTCAAGTGTGTTATTGCTGATTTTTATCATACGAGTATCCCCCCATCCTTGTCTTTATCAAGAATGTTAGCATTTTAAGAAAATACGCACGTTATATGGTGTATCTGGCAAATATTTTCCTACTCTTTGGTGCTTATCACTCTCACTTCTCTATCCATGATATCAACGAAGTATAATATTCGGGTATAATTCCCACAGGCTGGTAAATACAGTATTAAAATGTAAAAAAAAAATAATAAAAATGGGTTGGTGGGGGTCAACACAGGTTTCCTTGTGGGTATGTGTGTGCTCGTGTCAGACCGCCTCTGTGACTGTCATTGTCTCTTTGCTATATAGTCATGTTGCGATTTTTTTTTCAAATTGATATGGTTGGTTCATAATCAAGCCCATGTGCAGGCATATAGGCTTTTTTGACTGTTTCACAACCTGTGATGAAGTAAAAAAAAAAAAAAAATTGTAATTTCATTTCCCTGACAGAAGCCACGTTCTCATTCTTAATACATTTTGTCTGTGTCGTCTTTATTCGTAAAAAAAAAAAAAAAAAAACAGTCTGTACGTTTTTTACCGATCAAAATTTTTAACAGTGAATATTTGTTAAGCAGAAAGTAATGTATAAAAAATGACATAGATGGAAGGAATCCATGAACATATTTTTGGCAATCTGGTTTTGATCCGGTAACATGGAAATTCTTTTCACAACGGACAAGAATTTTGGATAGTCAGAATGACATATCCGTCTTTATTCAATCTCTTTTTTTTTTCTTTTTTTTTTTTAACTTTGTTGGTTAAAAAAAAAAAACAATACTGTATGAACAGATTTTTTTTTTTTAAATCCTTGGAACGTCTATACTTATCCACAGATTTTATTGGGCCAACGGACTTCTTGCGTAACATGCATATCGCGTATATAAAGAATTTTTTGAAACATTTTTTTCTTCATTTTCACTATTTCATTCAAGATGATTATTTTTTTTCATGGTAAAACTTTCCATGGTATTGGACAAACCTTTCGTGACTTAAATCCACGGTTGTTCTGTTCTTTTTCTACAACTTACAACAGATTTATAAAGAAATTTACTACGTTCCAAAGTTATCATATTTCTTTTTTCCACTTGAATATTTTTAAAATCAGCAGTCTATATACGAGAACTATAAACGACTAACGAAGCCATAACTCATGGCCGTAAAACTGACGCTTAAAGTTATTCCATTACTTATGATTTTTGTTTTATTTCAACACTAAGTTTCGGTTGATAAATTCTTCGACCTTTTACAACACACACACACACACACACATATATATATATATATATATATATATATATATATATATATATATATATAGGAAGATTGACACTTCTTTGCAAAAGAAGACCATCTCTTGATAGCTTTTTGTGTTTTTCATTCAGAATTTAATTATTTCCATCATTTGTACACGAGCTAGCGCTTTGCTATGGGACTATAAATGATTCTTAAGGCCATCTTCACTTTTACAACCTCTCTTACATGCAAATATGGCAAATAAAAAAAAATTTCTCTGTATTGCCCATGTTGGCAATTTGACTGTCCCTGTATACAATCACGTGACGTTTGAGTCCCGCGACAGACTTACAAACTTTGTCACAAAACTCGCAAAAGTAACCTCCAGGTTCTTAAGGCGCTTTCACCTGACCTCTCTGCTCTGATCTCACATAACTGGCTAAACCAGCTACCAAAATGGTGACTTTACCACAAATACTGCAAGTGTGTTTATATGTATGCAGGGTGTGAGAGTGGTGCAACGGTTAGCGATTTGGAACGAGAAATAGGTGAAAACAGATCGAATTCCTGACAAGTTTGTTATATTCACTTTCGCGAAAATACTCTTGGGGTGGGGAAGGTGTCAATTCGTCTCTTCTCTCTGTCGCTATGGGTTAAATAGTAATGTTATCTTGGCTCTTTAGCCGTGCACGTAATATCCAGCTAGTGGCAAGATCATGAACCTCACAGTGACTCTGTTGTCGACGTACGATTGTGTCGATTTTTATTTTATGATCTTTATTATTGTTGCTTAAATTTAAAGGTCCTAGTAAACAGTTTTTTCTCATTGACGAGAATATAGCGTTTTACAATGAAACTTTTATGGACATTTTGCAGCTATTGGGGGCATAATTATGCATTTCGTGTTTCATTGCGTTTCTACGTGAAAATAAAGAACCTTGCTCACACTCAACATTACCTTTCTTCCCAGGAGCTCAGCTTTTGGTGCTGGTTGTGAAGATTTATCCTTGTCTATCTATTGCTTAATTCGTTGAACCCATTTTTCATCACCTATAATGATATAATTAAGGAAAGTTTAGGATGACACATTCGTCATTACCAACTGTTCCCCAAAACGGAAGTTAATTGTGGCTCGCTCTAATGGAATGTTAGCGAAAATACTGGAGTAACTTGAATTATAAACCCCTTTTGCTAGGTAAGACAATTTTATTACCGCTAACCGTGGAAAACGGATTTGAAAAAAAAAATCTCCTTGTGCTCTGAGAAGCGGTTATTTTATTCGGTGAATAATTAACATTGTTACGGATAGGCCATGGTATTTAATTCACAGTGAAAGGGTTAGGGGTGAAGAAAGTTAATTCAAAATTTAGTGGCGCATAGACTTTAAGATGCCTTACGGCTGTATCACGTTCAAAACACCGGCTCCCGTACGATCATCGACGCAACCTCGAGTCCGGTCAGTACCGAAATGAGTGATAGCTTGGGAGTACCAGGTGATTTTAAGATTGGATGTGCGGGTGGTAAAATGGATAATGGTTCGGAATTTTTAATCATATAGTCGAGTTCCAATTCCAGTTGTATTCATTTAGGCGCAAATACCCTTGGGAAAGGTATCGATCTACCCCGTTCTCCACCCATCTATGGGTTAATCAGTGAAACTTGTATTACTGAATTATTATTATCTAAAAAAATTCTTACAATCTAAAAATATTTTTTGGCTTTAAATAATCAGCAAACAGTTGATTGACTGATTCCAGTTTATCAATCATTTCCAAAAAATTGTTCCTTATGCTATCATTCTGTCGGAATTGTTAATCAGAGAGCCGAGTTCGAATTCTAGTTGGGTTCATTATATTCAATTACGCACAAATACCGTTTGGAATGCTATGGATTAATTAATAAAACTCTTATCGCTAAATCATTATTATCTCAACATAAAAAAGCTGGCTTTAAATAATCTGAAGATGGTTAACAAGCCGTAAAAAAATGAATCAATCAATCAATCTGGTCTAGAAATCTTGATACTGTCGAAGAAGCATAGATCGGTCGAAACCATGTGTTAAAAGGAAGACGAGTGTTGTAACTGAATGGAATAGCATAAATAACAACATCACTGGAAAGGTTCTACGTGGAATGTTCAGTTCATACTAGAATGTGCTATGCAAAAATATGTCTTACGTTTTTTTGGGGTTTTTTTTTTGTTGTTTAACTAAGACAAGAATGCCAAAGTGGAAATGTTGAAAAATGTTTTTCTTTTTTTTTTTTATCAGATTGTCATTTATTTTTATAGAAAAAAAATAAACAAATAAATAAAAACAAATTGTTTTCATTTTTCGTATATTTTTTTTAATAATAGAAATGTGCGTGTTAATTCCCCACCCCCATGTTCTCTATCTTTACACAATGGACGGCCGCTCTTTTTTCGAGTACACCCGTCTGTTCGAGTGGTAAGATATCCCTTGTTGCAAACGTCTGCACAGTCATTTTGTGTTTGTTAAACGTCCAAACAGCCCAGCTGTGTGTTGCCTTGCAACAATGCTGAGCAAACATTAGAGTTTGTAGGAGAGAGAGAGAGATCGTAATCAACCGTCATCACGATGACCTTTGACTTCGTTCTACTACAACCTTTTGAACAGTTTCATCTACCCACTTTCAGTCACAAAATTTGGGTCAAACTGTGCTATGGTTCCCAAGCACTTCCCACTGGGACCTCACGGAATGGTTATCTCTGCGGACCGAAATTTTCAAGAATAAACTTCGACAATTAAACAAATTGACCATGGTTTTATATACAGGGTGAGGCAGAGAGGGGTTTTCAAAAACGCCTGTCCTCTCTGCCTCACCATATATATATATTTACAAATTCATGAATTATTCATACAAAAAAACAAATACAAAGTTAATGATTTTTTGGCGAAAATCCATCATAAGAGGAACAATTCAAATAATATGTACCCCGAACATGTTTATGAGAGAAAAAATCCAAGAACAAAAAATATTCTGTTGCCTGAGGATGTCTGTTTGAACAGACGAAAGTCTGTTCAAAGAACTCATCCTCAGAAATTTATAGAAACAAGGATCTTTTTTTTTCTCTCATAAACAGGTTCGGGGTTTTGAAAATTATTTGAATTGTTCGCGACGATGTATTTCTCGCCAATTAAATCATTAACCTTTGTATTTGTTTTTTGTATGAATAATTCATGAATTTATAAATTAATTGCACCTTTATTGAAATATATATATATATAGATAGATACACCTAGTGAGCCAGACAAACCTACCTAGGTTTCACCTAAACTAGGTGTATCTAGGTCTGCTCCACGGTTGTATTGAGCGCTTTTGTTCGTTGTTTTACTCGTATCAGGGTTTTTTCGTTGGGCTTCAGACCTGCATCTGTGCGATTTTTTGGTCGGCAGAAGTTCATGTTTGTAGCTATTTCTTTT